GGCCGCGTGAAAGGGGAGAACACGGTTGCTGCAGGGTAAATGTTTGTTTTATGCGCTTATTGCGAGATTATGTGCGTCCGGGAACTTTGCGCGATGGAATTTCTGCGTGTGTATTTTTGGCAGAAGCTGCGGGGCCCGGGGAAACGCGGCGCGAAGATATATGCGGGGCACGAGACTTCCGCATTCGAACCGATATGGAAACAAAATGGCGGAACAACTATTACGATGGAATCAATTTTTTAGTAATCATACACATTCGCTTATAAAATTCAATTTCGCTACGTAACGGAGAAAATATAAAATGAATCTGGTGCTCTGTCCCAGTCGTCAGTCGATATTATTAATTTTGTTGCAATGAAACTACAAGCTAAACTACCTGGTACTTTACACATACCTATTTTTACCATAACGTGTCAAATGACCCCTTATGAAATTTTTAGATTTAAGAAAATTCTTAACCCTTTGCACTCGAGAGGTGCCTCTAGGTCACCATTTGATAAAATTTCGAAGCTCGATGTTAATTAATATATCAAATTTGAAATAATGTAACAGTGTGCGAGGTATTGAAATTGAATAATTCTACGTGTTAATTATTATACGATTTCTTATTTACTGCTCAAAAAATATCATCAGCTTTATGGAAGAAAATTTTTCAACTCGTACGCCTCTTTAGTTGAAAAATTGTCGAGCGTAAAGGGTTAATTTATTCAAGGAAATAACAAATGTACGATTTATAAGGGAAATTTTGGAAGAGGTCATTTGACCCCGCTTGATATCTTTAGTGCTAGTGATGCGGGGATGATCCCTTCCCCTCCATTTTGCTTTTGACACAGTGTGTCTTTAATCTCCAATTTTTCTGGAGACTATGACTATCACTATATATTGCTTCTCTGATTCGTTGACAGTTGACAGGATCTAGCAAACGCAGCGTGAGTTTCTACCGTGCCATAAAAATTAAAAATTATTTCTTCACCATGAATAATTCTCAAAGTTACCGCGAGGTCGATGTATCGTTACAGTCCGCCATTATGTAATTCTCTGTTTCTATTTTCGAAATAGGATCTCGTAACATTGCGCGGGGACTCGGTCTGGTCTCGAGTCTAAAAGTGTCTCCGAAGAGCTCTCTCTCTCTTCGGGACTATTCATGCATACGGGAAAAGAGAGAAAGAGAGGGAGAGAGAGGGAAGGTAAAGGCAGAGGGAGGCATAGAGAGGAAGACATTAAGGGGCTGTTAAGAGAGAAGGTTTGGACAGGGTGTAACAAAGGGCCAGAGAGGGCTGGTCGGAGATGATTAATACGTTATTTGCGAGCGGAAATTCACTTGGAAAGTGTCGTTTGCACGGAGCTCCGCGTATAAACCAGTCTCGAGGGCCGCTGTTCATCTTCCTCGAGAGAAGACGAAGAGTTGTTATCATTCCTAGGGAAACGGGCCAGCGATTCGAGGCTCGTGCAAACTGTCGTTGATTTTTTCCCTCTCGCCTGTGCAAACGCCAAGACAGAGGACCGCGATCTCGTCGAAGAGGACTCGGTGAAACCAGACGAACCCAGGGATCAGGGTCGATCGTGAAGTTTATTCTACCCCGATTGGAGGTTTACACGAGATTCGACGATTTACCATCAGGCCGTCCCTAATCAAACCTCGAACCTTCGACTTCCGGTCGATAATTCGACGATTCCTCCTTCATCGAGTTTGCTTCCACTCTATTTTCCTTCTCCTTTGTGTAGAATGCTCGTTCCTCGACGGTTTTCATCGAATCGCGCGGTGTTCAGACGGGGAATCTTTCTCCGTTTGTCGAAGAATCGAGCGAAACAAGGCAGTCACGATCGATCCACTGGTTCATAGGGAGCCGGGTAAAAGATCGAGACTAATTCGAACGCAAATTGGAACAGCCGCGGCATTAGTTACCCGGGATAAATCGTCGTATGAGGAAATCCTCTCCGCTTCGTAAATCGAACCAACACCCCGACCTTACGTGATATGTATCCGCGCGGCTAACTCGGGCAAATGGTACGGTATAAAGTTCGAAAGGGCAGAAGTTCCGTTCCCGCGCTCGATGGAAAACGCCGCGGGAACTTCCGCGGTCCGATTTGCCTGCCACGGGCCGGAAACTGCTCTAATTCCAACTTTCTAATTCCGGGGCTGTAGCCGGTTAATGGTCCTGGTGTGCTCGTCTTTCGCGGACAGCTAGTTCGTCGTTTATCCGCGTTTACGTGCTGTAAGCCTGAAAGCTTTTGCGCTTTCATTACTGATTTCACGGTTTTTCAACGGTAGCGGAATACTGCGATTTAAATTTTGGAGCAAATCGGTTTTTATAAAGGTTTTGATAAAAGCTTGGCAAGGTTCAACGAATTTCCGTGAATTACTATATTTAAAGTGCAGTAAAGAGTGTCCCAAAATGTACGCAAGATTTGAATTTCGCGCCGTCTTTGCGGTAAATTGTTGCCAACGAAAAAAAAAAGATAACGTAAGAGTTGACAGTTTAGGGTTATTAAAAATGGAGCTACATGAGAGAATAATGCATCTTCATTATTGAGTAATATTTTTAAAATAACGAAGAATTGTCTGTTTTCTATTAGAATTACTTTTTGTGCGAATTTTGGGACACCCTATAGATATTTCCGAAATTGAAATTTTATTAATTTCTGAACGAAATCCGGGTTCTGAAGCTAAGATTCTGGGATAAATCGATCATTATATAGACGTCTGTAATATTCCTATAAATTAATCCAATATTGTAATGCTAATATTAAGGACAACGATGTAGAAATTTTTTAAAATTGAAATTCTATAGTGATCTATACTGCCAATGTTATAAACATTACTTAGATTCTGGTGTCAAGATTCCGTGATAAGTCTATCTTTATAAAAGCACCATAGCACTTACAAAATTCCTATAAATTTACCTTATATTTTGACTGACACATGGATAGAAAGAGACATAGCTTTTTTCCAAAATTAAAACACCATAGCAATCGATATCTAGAGTCAAGGTTCTAGGCCTAATCGATCTCTATAAAAGCGGAATGGCACTTGCAAAATTTCTATAAATTTACCTTATATTTTGACTGACACATGGATAGGAAGAGACGTAGCTATTTTGCAAAATTAAAATGCCACAGCAATCTATATCTAGAGTCAAGGTTCTGGGCCTAATCGATCTCTATAAAAGCGGATTGGCACTTGCAAAATTCCTATAAATTTACCTTATATTTTGACTGACACATGGATAGGAAGAGACGAAGCTATAATATTTTCCAAGATTAAAATACAATAGCGATCGATGTTATCGGTATCTCACACGAATCTCGGATTCTATAGTCAAGATCTAGGACCAATCGATCTTCATAAAAGCACAATGGCATTTAAAAAATTCCTATAAATTTACCTTATATTTTGACTGACACATGGATAGAAAGAGACATAGCTTTTTTCCAAAATTAAAATACTATAGCAATCGATATCTAGAGTCAAGATTCTAGGCCTAATCGATCTCTATAAAACCACAATAGTATTTACAAAATTCCTATAAATTTATATTTTGACTGACACATGCATAGGAAGAGACATAGCTTTTTTCTAAAATTAAAATACTATAGCAATCGATATCTAGAGTCAAGATTCTAGGTCCAATCGATCTCTATAAAAGCACAATGGTACTCGCAAAATTTCTATAAATTTACCTTATATTTTGACTGACACGTGGATAGGAAGAGACATAGCTATTTTCCAAGATTAAAATACTATAGCGATCGATGTTATCGGTATGTCAAACGAAACAAGGCTTCTGTAGTCAAGATGTAGCACCAATTGATCTCCATAGAAGCTCAGTGGTGCTTGCAAAACTGCCATGAATGAACCCAACGCGTTAATCAGGACACTAACAACCCTCGTCACAGATATTTCCCAACGCCGAGATTCCGCATTGACTGATACCCTTGACACTTGGATCATCGATCGCTTCCCAGTCCTAGATCAGCGCGGCGATTATAGTCCCACGGGTTTGGCAGTCGCGCATTAGGCATTCGGAGCGTAATATCATGGCGGGCCGAGTTTCGTCTAAGTGCATCCGGATCGCAATAAATCTCGATGCGCCGTGCCAGCGCTATCATGCAGATTGGCTTTAATGGCGGCCGATAGTGGAGCGCGTTTAATTTAAGTGTCGCGTATGAAAATTTAAAATTGCCGCTTTTTCCATCGAGTGAATCGGTCGATCAAACACGGCCCGGGGAGCGTTACGAACCGTTTAGCCGGCAAGATCGTTAATTCGGTTCGTCTTAAGCCCCGGGACTTCGTTAAGCTCACGCTCGTTGATCGAGTGACCGACGAACCGTGTTCCGTCAACTTTCTAAGCCCTCGTTCCCTCCGTCTAGCAACCTCCATAGGGAACTTCTCGATCTCGCCAACTCCGTCCCTTTGTGTACGAATGATTCCTTAGTTCCGCGGGAAAATAGCCGATATTAACGACGCACAGCTATCAAAACTCGGGATATATCCGTCGTATCACTGCAAAATATTGTCAACTAGATATCGCTCAGTGATATCAAAACTATGTCAAGATTTAAGTACAGTATATTTATTAATTCTATGGACTCCCAGTCACCGTTTGTTTCGACACTTCGAAGCTTAAATGACGAATACGAGATAATAATTAGATTAGAAGCAGCTACGCGTGATTTTCTTCGTTACTTTTGACACGAAATAGCATCACCGAGCTCAGAAAAGCACAAGAAAAGCTTCGAATTGTTATATCTTTATAGCGAAAAAATCCTCTGCTGCAAGGGGTTAGTAACTGTATTATTAAAGTTTATAAACTAAGAAAAATGTTTTAACTAAGGATAAATTATTCGACCACTCACATCGCCAGTATTCGTCCACAAAGGATCAAAGAGACCTCTACAGAACGAATGACACTGGCAATAGGGCCAATAGAGCAGAAGTTGGAAATAGAAAAAGTAAAATAAAAAGGACGAAAACAAAACAGAAGAACGACAAGGTTTACCCATACTGATTCCAGAGCTGGACGGATCCTCGTTCTTGGCACCCCAGCTGCCGGCGAGATTGAGCGCGAGCAGAGGCCTCTCCTTCAGCAGCTCGGCGACCGAGGCCAACCCCTCGCAGCCGCAGCCCAAATGGGGCAAGTGCAGCGCCTGTACTTGAACGCAGCCACGAAGAGCATCGCAGACCCGGGACACTTGCTCGCCGGACAGATTCATGTCGAGGACCAGCCGTGCCAGGCTGCTTGACGCGTGACTCAGTCCACGGCAAAGGGCGTTCACCACGCACTCCAATCTGGAACAACCGATCGATGCCTCTGTTCGTTACAAACGCCCTGAATCGTTGGGCCAAAGCGCCCACTGGTCCACGGGACACGGCAATTCGCCCCGAATCATTGGTCATTTGGTTTAACCCGATTGCCGGCTCCTGTTTCACCCGAAATCATTCTCATTTACCCGCGGACGTGGAAACGCAGCCTCGAATGCAACGTCGGGCTTAGAAGGATTTAACGTGATCGTGTTACGGTTACTTGCCTCGGAAACGGGATGATAATCGGTGTTGACGCTTGCTCCGGGTGCTTCGCGTCTTATGGCAGGGAAAAAACGGAAAAGAAAGGGAGAAATGGGGGAAAAAATGGCGGTGGCCAGCGGTGCGGCAGAAGTTAAGGAAGCGTTGCAGTTTTCCTGCCAACGTTTCGCCAGCATTGCAGTTTCCTTCGTCAGTGGCTGCTTGACACACTGCTACCGATACGGGTAACTGCAGTGTTTGCGAAATGTCAGCGAAGAAGCCGAAAATGTGGCCGGCATCCCGTCGGTCGATACCAACGCTCCAGTTTTCTCCCGGAATCCGGTAATTAAAGATCAACAGACCTCCGTTCGAATTTTCCCGAGGAGGAGGATCCAGCGAAAAATGCCAGGCGTTTTTCACCGGGTGCTACCGCGTAATTTTCACCCCGGGGCCGGCGTGTAAATTTGCTCGGGCAGCGTTGTCGGTCGACGAAGACGTGCCACGGCCAGATTTATGCACGCGTAACATTCGCTTCCGCTGTCTATTCGCCATTATTTCGCGAGGCTGGCGCCCGCGTACACGTGTGCAACAGTTATGCAAAGGCGGGCCACGGTTACTTCTCCTCGGAGAATTGCAAACGAGCCTGGATTTCCTCCAGAATTACAAGCCCGTCGGAAAGCTCGGCATTTTTACGGGGGGCGCGATAAGCGGTACGAGCGTCGGGGCGTTCCCCCGGATCAAAGAGGAATTTTTATCCCGCTACGTTCGCGAACGATGCCAGAAAGGCTGGTGAAAATAAACGGGACTGGATCGTCGTAAATAACACACCGGTCGGTGTACATATTCATGAACAATTATTTGGCAAACAAAGCATCGCCTTCAATTACACGATATTCTCCGGAATTAAAATAAAGTGGTCTCTGTTTTCGAAGTTAATTAAAATATCCAGCTCCGTTATTGCTCCGAGCTAGCATGATTTTATCGGTCGAGCAGAACAGTCCGCGGATTCCGTGACGCACGTTTCATATCGGAATATGCAAGAATAAACGGAATAAACCGTGTAAACAACGAATATTTTCTCGTTTACGAATCACGAGATCCTCCCGCTTCGATATCGTTGTTATAAAGATAAGACGAGAATTCTCATGCTAAAAATATGAACAAATTTCGGTATTTCTTATAACTAATGTAGTATCGCAGGATTTCCACCTCGTAGGAAATATATAGGTTGCTTTAGCTCAGAAAGTCACCGAGGGTTCGAAGGTCAGGTTGGTCGGAAAAAACCCGATGATGATTCAGGCCCTAAGCATGACCACATTTGCTCATGTTTGGGGAGGCTTTTGGAAAACGTATACGTGTTGGGGAAGATATAAAAGAAGGCAAAATTGGTTAGGAAACAGTGATTAGGAGGAAGTTCGTTGGAGACAGTTCTTGAGAGATAGTTCTTTAGAAGAATTCTTAGTTGTGTTTTAGTTGTAACAGACTGAGTTGCCATTGTGTCGTTGAGTTGAGTGTAGTCTTAACTTGGAGTCGATATAGATTCGTGTGTTTAATCACTCGCATATTGTTAATTTATTATTATTAATTGATAAATAATTCTATTTATCACCACCAATCCCAGTCTCTACACTAATAGAATATAAATATATATATGTGGGATTGGATTTTGGATGGATTGACTTGAGATAGTATTGTTGGCTTCTTAATAGAATAAAATAAGCTTAGAAACAGAATGACGCTATGACACAAGAGAGATTCTCTATGAGCACGTTCTTCTGATCTTTCTTAGACTGACTTCGACTTCATACATACTCTCTGATCGACACACTGGCACACTCTTAACCGTTTGAGTGCCACGGGTCATTATTGTTTCCCAATCGATATTTGCCAAGCGGCGCGATAGCGCTTGTCATATTCCGTGTCCAAAAATGCCGAGCGGCGCGATAGCGCTTCTCATATTCCGCGTTCACCAACCGAGCGCGCTGATTGTCAGCTTCGCAGCTCAGAGCGCTGGCACTTTTGGACACAAAATAGAAGAAGCGCGATCGCGCCTCTTGGCACTTAAACGGTTAAAGACTGCAAAATACTGGCTTAAAAATCTCTTAAAGACTGACTCACGCCCTTGCACCCTTATTTAAACCATTCATTCTGTCCTTTTTCATACCCAGGTTTTCCTTCCCAATCATGTTTCTTTGTCACATAACCTCGGTGGGCCAGGTACTTCAACCACTCTGAACGCATCTCTAAAGTTTCACTCGACTCTACCATAAATATTCTTCGCAGTCAATCCTCTTGCATGCGATCACTTTCGTTCTATGCCCAAACAATCTTGACATTCTTTCAGGACTGTACTCATTCCAATGCTACATATATGTAGGAACAGAAACAATTTTCTGTCATCATTCACGGAATAAAATCTCCAAATAGGGGTTGAATTGTGTTTCGTCCGAACCTTTCTTAAATGGGAAATTTGTCAGACGAGGTTTACGCCCTCTTACAAACGTAAACTAGTTAATCGAGATTTTCACAAGAGTTTATTTCGAGTTGATACAAGAATGGATACGTTTACAGTGTAGGTTTGGTTATTTGAATGTGTCTGCTCCCCTGCCTTCGTGTATTTTATAAGTTCGGGTGTTGCTGTCATTGGTTGTCGAGACGTGTAAATGGTGAGCGCATTTCTTCCTATTGGCAGCATGTTGGTTAGAGAGGTGTGTATGGAGTTCGATGATTCTTGGTAGTGGAAGTGGAAGTTTAAAGAAATTGTCAATTTGTTTCTCGGTCCTTGGGAAATTTTAATCTCTTTTATAGGGGGTTAACTCGGATGGTATTTTAGGAGGTCCAGGTGTCTGCGAGTCGTAAAACGCTGGTCGTAAAGGAATTACACCGTTGTCCCTTCGACTCGGGTCTTCTGTCTTTAAGGGTGAATATGGAAAATAGGAAAATGAGGTACGGGTCTTTCGGTGGAGGCGAAGGTTTAAATACATTTGGCTAATTGTCTGTTCGTTTATGAAGGGTTGGCAAGCCTTTATTCAGGATTAGATCGGATGATGGTTGGGGTAACATAAGAGTCCGCGAGTTTGGGAACGAACAAACTGGAATTTCCTAAATAGCGTACCGTTTGGCGTACAATTCTCCCTTCGCTGTCAATAGAAAACCTGAAGGATTCTCGGTACGAAGACAAGTACGCGTCACATAACTGGAAACGTGTGCGAGCGCTGTCAGGAAGCGATTAGGTGCCAGACACTCGAGAACGTGGTAACGAAAGGGTGAATCCGCTGACTCGCTCGTTCGACGCCTGCCTATATTCGCCGATCAAGAGCGTGTCTGACCAATCGCGCTTGCTATCACTCGCAGCCATTGATCACTGGAAATATTCCGACAGCTGTCACTCAATCGCGAACCGCAGACAGCGCAGTTAATCACGGCGCAGATTTTACGAAACGCTGTCTCCTCGTCAACGTCACCGAAAAACGCTGAATTTTCCGCGACTTATCGCTGGCGGTGCTATGTGGCCATTGTGGCGGAGCTTCCTCGGCGTTTAAAAGCTCGCTCCTCTCGAGTGCTTTCCCGGCCTCCGCCAGAGAATACCCCGAGGAAGATTCGTATTATTTAAACGTTGCATTAGCGCGGCTCATGCCGTGGCATCCGCCAAGAAGGGAAGTCTTGTCCGGCCATAAGCGACGTAAGGAAGGAATTTATTCGTTCCGAGGGCGGTGCATGGCTCCCCTGGCGCGGGTTCTTCGTTTAATCGAAAGTAAGGAACGTCTGCAGCGTTTTTAGCGTACGCATTAATCCCACGGAGTGTCAAAACTCTCCAGAGACTCGATAATTCGTCGAGCTGCGCAGAGACACCATCTGCTGGAGCCGCTGGCGCGAAACGGATTAAAATATACGAGTGACTAGGAGCCTCTGCGTTTCCTCATCAATTCATACCTAGTTCCTGTCACGTGACTGAAACTGTTCGCAATAGGTCAGTAGTTGGAGTTGGAGCTACAATCGTAGCCTAAATACAGCGAAGACATAGCGTCCTGTCTTTTCTTTTCTTCTCTTTGTTCCTTGATATTTACATTTATAAGGGGACGAAAAGAGGGGGCTAGGTTAACACGTTAAGCCTTTCGCTACGGCGGGCGTGGCCGCGAAGCGACGTGCCAAAGATGGAAACATTACAGTTTTTAGCATTCTTTAGCAGTCGTTAGCATTCGGTCTTTTGACACAAATTCTTTGAAGAAAAAAAGAAAAGGAAAAACTGATAGAGCTTGCAATTTTTAGCAAAGAGAGATGAGAGGAATGGTAACACTTGTCTTAATATTTTACTCAATTTTTGTGGCCAGTGACTGTAGTCACCAGTAGTAGCGGGGTTCAGGGTTAAATGCCTCGTCGGTTTTACGTGCCGTTTCATTCACGCCGCAGTTAGCTGTCATGCGGACCCTTTTGGGTTGTAGATACCCGCGAGGTCTGAACGTCCCTCTAACGTAAGTCTAGCATCGGTCCCTGGCGTTTAACGTGTTGAATGGATCTATTACTCGATGACCGATTCTACTTTACTCCGTTGTACACAATATTCTTCCGTTCCTATCACAAGCTGCTCTCGTCTCTCACGTAAAACTCTCCAGTCCACTTCTCGAGCTGCGCTTTTAACGGTGGGCCTTCTTTGTCAATCCGCCGCGAAGATCAACCGGATCGTCGCTTCGTTTTGAGACTCCGATTATCGCTGCTACGTGCTCGTCACTCACGCCGTCTTATCGGTAATCGGAACTCCCAACTCTTGTATACTCTTACACATTTTTGGACAAAGTGTACGAAGAATTGGAAGACATGCGACGAGATCGGATTTCAGCAAGCTCCCGCAATTCTCTGTCAATCCGATTGGGCCGGACAAACCCAGGGCGGGGCCGCGAGGAATCTCGCAGAAGAATGGACAACGAAATTGCAGGGCAATCGAAAGGGTAGAAGAGCCACGGAGCTTCGTCGCGGTCTCTTTCACGCCTCGAGTCGTGTTTCCTTTCCGCCTGGCGCACCGCTGAACAGCCGGATGACTCCTCTCTTCGGCTCGTCGCCTCTCTCTTCGATCCATCGATCGGTCTTTGCGGCGTTGCTGCCTGTTACGGGATCCCGGTGCAATTTTAGCCGTTTCTGCCGGGCAGAAGCGACTGCTGGAGAAATAGAGTGGAGGGAAAGGACGCGGAGGAAGCGGCGAAACACTTTCTCGACGCGCAACAATGAGCTCGCCGGGTGGAGAATGTTCCGCCTCCAGGCAAATGGTGGTTAAACGCTTCCCTTCGCCCTTCGCGTCGCGGTTCCTCGCGGCTTTCGGGGGATTTTTCTCCGCTATTGGTCCGGCTTAGACGACTCGGTGGGGTGGGTGAGCAATAAAGAACGCGACGGTTCAGCGAGCGCGTCAAAATTGGAAACAGCAATGAGACCGGCGCGCACGGGGAGCGAAGAGTAAAACAAACACGGGCGAGGCTTTGTTTAGGAGTAATCAGAGGAACTGGCAGCGAAGGGAGTAGAAGCGGGGTTCAAGGGGAACGGGATTAAGAGACCTCCGGAATTTGATTCTAGCCTGAAATTGTGGCCAAGTTTTTTCGTAAACGGGTAACGCCAAAACGCTGAAGAAGCGTGGAAGTCCCGCTGCGAGAAAAATCACGAATCTTCGCGCAAACTCCGCCAAGTGTCTGCGAAAAGTTTGAGAACGCGGAGACAAAGCTGACGAAGGGAGAAGCCGCGATGGTCCATCCAGAGGAACTCGTTGCTCGTGGAGGTCACAGAGACTTGGGGGTTGAAAGGGACGGAGACGCGGCGCGGGAAGGGACGAGGACGGAAGGAAGTCAAAGGAAGAGGAGGTTCGAGGGCTGAGAAAAGTAGGTAGACTCGCGACAGGGTGAAAGAGGGAGAGCCAGAGAGGGGCGAGTCGGTCTAGCGTTCTGCCACGAAGACCATCGTGCCGCGTCCTCCTTAATTTTTCGCCACGGGCCACGAAGCCGCCCCTTCACGACCCTCGAACAACCTTCGTAAAAGGGAAGAAGAAAGATCTCCGAGCCTCTATTCTTGCCGGGGCATATTGTTCCGCCACTTTCTCCGCTTTTTCTCCGCTGCGACTTTATGCAGTCGCGATTCAGCCCCTCTCGAGGCCCGCTCATTGTTACCCCGTTCTTGTTGCCGCGTTTTGGGGGTGCGTTCGCTCGCGGGCCGGCGCTCCGCGTGCTTTGAATATCGAATATCTCGCTCGCCACGGGGCCACGCGCGGGAAGCCTCTCCGACGAATAGGCGCTGCTTTTCGGGGGAAGAACATCCTCGAGATTCGTTGCTAGAGAGTTCTTTGCCGGGGGAGGACGTGCTAGAGGATTGAAAATTTCCCGAGAGTCATCTCTCGGAATAAAAATCTCGTTCATCTCCCAACGGTTGCGAGGTTCGATGCGCTTCGGAGTTAGAGCTTTCCTCGGGTTTTCCGGCTCTCCGTTGTCTTCGTTTAAAGAACCTAATAGGAAGGGGGATGGAAAAATATCGAGGATAATTTCGAGCAAGAGTATCCAAGGGTACCGGAGAATTATCGTTACCGCTGCAGGCAATTGCTCTTCATGCCCCGATCTCTTTTCAAGCTCGTGTTCGTTTCGGCGAAAAAATGGCGGAAAGTGGGGCATACGACACGGCTAATATAAACGCGCACGCGAGAATCCAGAGCGGTTATGCAAATGGGAACTCGAAGCCTCGCCACCCTCGGCGCTGAGTAAACACGCTCTTTTTCCCAGCCTGCAGCTCCCAGCAAGGGTAAATGTCTTCTTCGCTGTCATGCGAGAGCAAAGTAAACTTTTTAATTTACTTCCTGACCTTCCACGCTAGGCGAAGGAAATTTCAACGGAACCACGAACGTTCGACGAGCAACGCGTAAATCTTCGCCCTGAATCATGCACGTGTTTTTACGTCGGTTAAAGCCGGACGAGGCAGGATCCGCGACAAATCCTCGTAACGAGGGTGGTTTGTTAGAAGTTTCCTCGCGTTCGGGATAAGCAGACGTTCCTTATTAATAGCTCTAAATATTTCTCCGTCTACCCCGGAAGCATGGCGGCTCACCCCCGTTCATGCAGCTTCTCGCTGCGAGTTAAAAACTGATCTATTTGTACGTCCATGTACATGTACTTTCCTCGACAAAACTTTTTTAATCCACTTTCCGATATTGCTCTACGTTCGCGCAAACGGCTCCACGGTTTTTTCCCTGTCAGCTTAACGAACACTCCGTTACGGTTATCCCTCGGCAACTTTCCGCGCTGTAACCTTACCGAATCCCTCATACGTCTCGTCGAGCCGTCTTCGAGCCGGGGTACAAAAGCTTCGTTCCCTAATTTTTCCACGTTCTTCAAGTGACCGGCGAGCTTCTGTGCTTCATCCGCAGGGAACTCTTGCCCGAGCAGCGACGTAATTCTCACGAGCTTGACGCTCTCGTTCCCGGCCAGTGCCTCGAAAAAGTCGTCCAGATATCTGGGATCCGAGCCTCTCTCCACTTGGAACACCACCTCGAGGGCTTCGAGGGTGCACGCCGGGCTCTCGAGGATCCGTGCCCACCCCTCGAGTTCCAGGGGCGAGGTGTGAACCAGAGGCGCTGGTGGTCTCTCGTTGGGTGCAGGCCCGAATCCGGGTCCTGCACCGACCAATCTGCACACGGCCGAGATGTTGCCATCGGAGGCACCGGCTGCTTTCAGCAACGAGAACACTGCTCTTGGTGGCACCTCCAGGGGACACAGCTGGTTCAGTATCAGATGCGTCTTGGGTCCCAGCAGGCCGGCCAGGTGACTAATGATCCCCGAGGGTAGGCCTTCCAATTCTCTTCGAAGAATATTCGCGTACTGAGCTACGGAGGTCAAATAGTATGCTGCCAGGAACTCGGCCACTGCCATGTGGATAGGCGCGTAGAGGTCTGGCTTCCGTCGTTGTCCGAAAGTCAATCCCTTGGTCAGGAAGCCCAACCTGGTGACTTCTATACCCCCGCCACGTGCCCTGAGTTCAGCCTCCGTGTAGCAGCATCTGCCTTCCCTCAGCGCGGCCAGAGACACCTTTCCAAAGTCCTCCAATCTCTTCCTACAATGGCCCGGGATCTCCTCGTTGTAGGGAATCGGCGGATCCAGGCTTCTCTTCACGATACACTTTACAGCAGCTTGGACCAATGCGCTGGTTTCCGTTGGTAAACTGCCCGAGTCCTGGGAAACGAAAGAGCGAGTTTTAAAACGACGTCGACTCTCTTTTACGAGCCCTCCGAGCTTTTATGCCGCGCGGGGCGTGCAAACAGCGCGGAATCGCTTTTATTTCGCCCACTAACGAATCGAACCGGTCGCTCCGCTACTTTCTCGCGATTTGTTTCACCGAACTTTAAACTCTCGATTACCGTCCCCTATCCCGAGCTTTTTATCTCCAAAAACTTTATTCTTCGGCGACAAATACCTGATAGAGGCAGCAGAGCATAATCCAGCCGAGAGGGTGCTGACCAAGCTGTTTGACAGTCTGCGGCTGCACGTTCAGCGCTTCCAGGAACTCGCAAGCCTTCTCCGCGATGTCGTTGTGGATGAAATACGCGACGCAGAGCCTCTCGACGTGCGGCCACTCGAGACCGGCCAGATGGATCCTCCTCTGGACCAGCGGCGACAGCACGCTCGAGTTACTGGGCGAGCAAGTGACCAGGATCCTCGCGTCCGGGAATAAACGTCCCTCGAGTAGATCCACTGCGTCGCCTAGGGATGCTCTTCCGCCCACGCATTCGTCGTACCCGTCCAGGATAAACAGCACGCCATCCTCCATTAGATGCAGCGTGCGCCATACTTGGGCCACGGCGTCCCCGATGGCGGCCGTCCTCGGGAATAATTCTCGAGCCAAGTAATTCAACACGGGGCTGCCACGAAGTTCGCGAAGGGGAACGATGAAGGCCAGGGCCGGACCATCGCCTTGGATCGCCCACTGGTAGAGAAGGCGGAGACACAGCGTCGTTCTTCCACTTCCGGGACCACCCTCGATGGCCACTCGACGGGGCGCCTCTGACACCGTGCCGTCGCTCAACTGAAACCCAAAACGAAATCTTTCAGTTCCCTATTCACGATTCCGCGTGATTCTATTTGTCTACTATCCCGATCACGAAAGGTTTCCCGTTGATCGGGAAAGATTCGCGAAACAGCGACAAATTGCGCGGCGACGTGCCAAACGGTAGTTAGACGGTGGCTCCCCCGGTTCAGGGAAACGGCTGATCCGTCGAATGGGATTAGTGGTTCGCGCGAGAGGTTGCAAGTTGTAATTGGCAACCGACTGGGGATCGCGAAACCGAGGAGTATCCGAGAAACTGGTCACGAAGCCGCTAACTTTTCTTCTCACAATTGCACCACTTATCTACCCCCGGCGAACCAACTTCCGGCGTACGAGTTGTCCGTGATCCGGCGTACTTTTCGCTTCATTTTCTCCAACTTTCATAGCCAACGATAAAGGGTTATTCACCTGTGACGCGTGGATCTTTGGCTACTTTTCAACGAGCAGCAATCGACGTGCGACGATTAACGAAAGGGCCCCTGGAATCTAGCTTCCCGCCACGCTTTCCCGGACACCTGAGCGTCCGTTAACGAGACTTCGCGACTTTTAATTGCCACACGGGTGATTTTCGAGCCGGCTGCGCGGCTCGTAAAAGAGAATACAAATAAAAGAGGGAATTTGCCGCCGGACGATGGCACTTTGCTCTCCATTCGCCCTAGAAACGGATTTAATCAGCGTCCGACAAAACTGTTTTTTCGCGCGGTGCTTTGTACTCGCGGCCATTGTTCCTGCGATGCGATGAAACAAACGTCGTTTGTCCCGTGACGCTGTAACCATCGTCGGCTACCGATCGATCACGCGATCAGCCATCCATCGGGCTGCTACCGGCGGGTTGGGATCACGCTCACGAAACAGATTGTCAGAGGACAAAGTCGCGTGTCTCGAGTTCCAGCTACCCACCCCTTCGGCACGCTGCTCGTTTATCGACCAGAGATATCCCGATTGTGTACCGAAGCCTGCTCGATCATTCGGCGCTGCTCACGAGCTCGTTAACGACGTCATTTACGTCGTATTAAAATTTATCACGTGGTAGGTTTGCAAGGTTTACGAGGATAGTCTGGGAAAGGAGGCGATATATCAATTTCGCGGAGAATTTCGACAGGCATCGTTGCGGAGAGGTTTTGTATCGCGTTTTAGTGCCCCGTCTTCGTTATCGCGAGCGTAATCTCGGCGTGAGCTAGATTATAAAGGACCCTGCGATCATGGCGCCCTGGTACCCAGCTCCTTGTCCGCAAGAGTCTATTGCCCGGGACCATTATCCCGTGGCTCTAGCCCCTTTATGGCCTGTTGCTTAGCTCCTATCCCCCTTTCAAGTAGATCATGCGATCCGTTGTGTATTATTAGTTTCATTCCCTTCTCCTTCCAACGGGCACCGTATCCCCCGGGCTCCCCGTATTCTAATGCTCGCGTGTCCAGTTTGAATGGGTGTCTAAGTCCACCCTGTGATTTCCAGCCTTCCAGCGGAAGGGTGTTCACCCGTAGCCTCCTTATCGCCACGGTCTTTATGGTTCCTGGACCTCCCATAGCCTGTTATTTCGAGCCCCCCTCGACTGCCGAGGGTTTCGGGATTCCTGGCTTCTCGGTGCTTTATTGGCCGGCTGTTTCCATCAACGCCGGCGAGCCTCGTGATTTCCCGAGTCCTGTGGTCTGTTTATTCGGCAAACTCGAACACGGCTAGCCGTTCCTAATCGATATGCTATCGCTGCCGCTACTCTCTGTCTCTATTAGCGACATTCGTCCCGCGAACATCACCGGTGGTATATAAACAAATAAACCCGCGATGCAAACAAACTCGCCGCGGACGTAAACAAAGGAACTCGGAAGGCAAACAAAGAGAGGGGGTAAACAAACACGCGGAATTTTCCTTCGCGAAAGCCGGGTACTAAGCTTCGCGCGTCCGCTCCCCGTCAGCGACAGGGACGATGCAAGTATTTTTCCTGGCCGACGTCAGGGATAACTCGGTCGAGGGATGAATTCCGTCCTGGCGCGTCTGCATCAGCAACGATCGATCAACATCGCTGTTTGACGAAGAAGCGTTTGTTTCAGCCCCTGTCGGCCGCGTTCGCTGCACTCGATCGTTCGGGATAAAGAAGATCGGAAATATTCCGCAAAATGCTGGCTCGTTCCTTGCAACTAAATACGTCGTAAAAGGAGCCCGGACATAAAAGGTCCGCTCGGCTACGCAAACTCTGAGAAACGGTGCTGTACTTTCATTCAACGAAAACATCCTCCAAGCGGTTTAGTGCAGCGAGCAGATGGACGGCCAGTCGATTCAGGAAAGCGCCGGATTATGGTTGCCGAAGTGGCTCGTATTCGCGAGGAAAAACACCGCCAGTCAGGGCTGTTAATATTCTTCCATTCACCTTTCGTCTTCCTCGGAAGGTTCTCGAGTCTAAAGGTTAATATTCCTTTCGGGGGATTAACTTTTAGGCATGAGACGTCGTTCCTCGATTCTCTATATCTCGTATCTCGCAGTCGAGGTGAAGAGAAGCTTCCGGCGAATGGAACAGCCGCAGATCGAACGTATTCATCGCGAGACAATGGCCGTGTCGGGCAATATCAGCAACTCGTCACTGTTCGAGCAAGCTGAGTGAATCGGTACACGCTCTGATGCTTCGCTCGTATCGATGTTCGTATCGTGTCGTACACTAGGTATGCAATACAACTCGTGTCTTACCGAATTTTCTGTTGCATAATTTCGAACAATGAACTCGAGAATTATCCGCATATATGCCACTTAATTTCGTGAAGGAAATAGGGAAGATGTAAACATTAAGTCGGCTAATATCTAGTATCATTAACTGGTCAAAGTACTCACAAACAGAAAACTAAAGGAAGAACTTCAAAAAGAAAAATGGGGGATCTGTATTAAAGGAAAAATGGAAAAACCAAGTGACGGAAATTTGAAAACGGTGACGAAATTTTTAAACAAACTTGAAGTTGAAGCAAAAAGTGACAGAATTTTGAAATTAGGGTGTGGTATAGTTAGATTCTACTATATTTGGATTAGGTCATAGTTAGATTCTACTATATTTAGATTAGGTACTTGAAGGAGCTTCGAGGACTTTCTCACAAGTCCTCGGTGAATCCTCGACCTTAGACTTAATAGAAGTTCCTATACTACCTAAGTATACCTCATATAAAGATAGGGCCCCCTAACTAGAAAACTATTCGTTATAGATAAAAATAAGTGACATAAGTATAGCGACCAACGTTCTCACCCTCGCCTATAGATGGATTCCTACTTGTAGGAGGTTCGAAGACTTTCTCACAAGTCCCTCGGTGAATCCTCGACCTTGGACTTAATAGAATTTCCTATGCTACCTAAGTATCCCCCATCTAAGGTAGGGCCTGCTAGGTAGCCTTACTGATGAGTCCACTAGCAGGCCTGGGATGAAACTCATCCCTTCCTTTTCCTTTTCCTTTCATCCCTTTTAGCACCACCGCAACAGAGAAGGATACCTGAGCGCCGACAGCAACAACATAAGCATTTCCCCCATACAAGAATTTAATAAATTTCTTTTTCTAGAAAATGGTTACTGTTTAGTACTAGAAATAGCAATATCACTCTTCCATCGCTCCAATATTACGTAACGATTAGTTCGTAAGAGGGGTTGATAGCTTTCCTCCTCACGAGGAGCGAAAAATGGCGATCACAATAGATTCGATACTTTATTTTCAAAACAAGCGCTTATATAAAAATTTTTACTCTGGTACTTCCATCGACATCCTGCACAGTTACATTTGGTTTCAATTCCAACCGCTATCGATGAACTTTATTCAATGCTGAATCCATAACGTTGCGAGCGACAATAAAATGGCGAAGTATTCGCGACCCCCTGAGCCACGGGGCGAAAAAATACACGGGTCTATCTAATATCTCATGGTCATTTTTACGTCTGTATTTCCACCTGAAAATTGTTATCACATCGATTTCCGCTCTAGAAACCGTTTCAAAGGATCGTTATTTCCCGGTGACTGTTATAAAGCACCGAAATCCGAGAAAATTTCGATTTCGAGTTAGGCAGCTTTTGAAAGGTCGGCTGTGTATCGGTTACGATTACGTTCTGTGTAGCATGTACACGCGTATTTTTATGTCAGCTGTATTTCGGTTGATTCGATCGACGCTCTAATGGATTTTGCAAAATTATCTGCAAAATTGCTCGTCCAGCAATTGCATCACTTTCCTTTGATAACGTGCACATTTGCCGCTATCGATTGTTGTCCGGTTGTCCGTTAGGTTAATTCTCAGCACGAGATACAGGCACACCTATCAGCATAGACAAAGTGCGAAATAAATTTAATACGTTATGAAATTTCGCATTTCACGTTGGAAAATATCGAATATTCGCTGAACACGGTATAGCGTACCGTAACATAGTGCAGTGTATATACATATAGTATATATGCGGTATGGTATAGGATGCATGTGTAATTAATTATAGCACTGTAGCTTTTCCGTATGCACCGTGGATACTCTCAATCGATGACCAGTAATTAACCCAAATTTTTTATCACGTGAGTAAGTTCACCTCAAAAGGATGATACGAATATTTTAACATACGAGTATCGTGAAAATTCATATTGCGAGAGAATTAATGCAGTTTTAATTTACGAAAAATACACGAATCGTTGGAATTGTTTAAAGCAGGAATTTGTAATTAAAATTAAAAATTAATAAGCCATTGGTTATTGTGGCAGAAAAATAATTCCTAGGAAAATAGATAATATTCGTGGATGAATTCTATTTACTTTCGAGCTACTTAGACTTCCACTTTGCTTCTCGCATAAGTTTTCGCGTATTCTCCTACGCTTCGTAATTCCCATTCGTTTCCTGCTCGTTTCGTAGTTATTTCGTGTTCATTCGAATTTCTTCATTTCGAGCGCGTCGCGATTTCAATTCAACTTCCGACTGGCTCGTGTTTCTGCTATTTTCTCTCTTCCTTTAGAAGCAGCTGGAATCAACGAAGAATCTTTTG